GTAACTCCAGCTCCTGCTGAGCTGGTACATTCTTCTGGCCCACACATGCACCTTTACTCTCGTGCACTTACCCACATGCAGACACACAGACAAACACATAATTTTAACACGAAAACAATCTTTTAAAAGGTGTCTCGATAAACCATAGGGTCTCTTGATTTTGGTACTATGTTCATAGGCTCAAGCTATCTTATCAAAAAGACAGGAAGTGAAACACACAGTCCAGTGCTGGGAGTTTGTGTTGGGCAAAGCATCCAACTTCTAGCATGACTGGGTGTTACTTCCTTCTAACTCATCATGTGATTCCTCTTCCTCAGACCCTGCCATGGTCCTCAACCTCCCTACTCATTTGTACCATTTAAAATTACTATACACCTGACCCAGTTTCCCCTCAACAGGTCTTTATTTCAACCTGATACCCATCTGCTGCCCATCATGGGGGCATACTCACGGCATCCTCAGCTTAGGGAACTTCTGGATGTCATTTTCTGTCAGGTTCTGAAAAGAAGAGACACTTGGCAGACAGGATAAAACACACAGGAGGGTCCCTGATCAGGTGACTAGGTAAGGAATGAAAGAGAACCATTGTCACCACAACATCCTGAGGTTTACATTTTCAAAGGGAATCCTGAAACTGCAATGTTATGTAAAAATTCCTGAATTATAAACAAAAATGACTTTAGTAATCAAACATGGGGAAAATCTGTGAAACCAAACAGAATTTGTATCACCGGCAAAATCTGGCAACCTCCTCCTTATATTTTCACCTCATGGTTCAGGTCCCTACTCAGTTTTGCATGGAAAGGGAGAAGTTAGGGTCTAATGTCATCAGAGGAGCTAGGTCTGAGGTGTCTTGGCAAGGTGCTTGTTGAAGCCCCAGATCCAGCCTTTATTAACCTGTGGTGAGTTTTCTGACCAGGATTCTGTCAGGCTACGTGAGTTAGAGTGAAAGGGTGAAGGAGCAGTCATATACCTGGATTGTGAGAGACCAAGGCTTTGTTCAGAGTGTGGCATGGTGGGTTGAAGGCATCTTGGGGTCTTTCAGATCAATACTCTGGAAGTGACTAAGATGAGGATACAAGCTGAGAAATGTGAAGAAGAGATGGAGGAGAAGACTCACATGACCATGACTGGAGACAGAAAAGAAAGATGCTGGGAAAGAAAGAACACAGACAACATCTGGGAAGGAAGATAAATGTGCTGTGTGATATAACTTCATCCCCTGCTTCTTTCAAAACCCTCTAGCAATCCTGGGCTAAACTTTATTGGAGTTGGATTTATGGATTTTAAAATCATGGTTATGTGCTGAGTTCAGGAAAGAGATCCATAGATAGTATAGCTACAAGCAAGGACCCCAATGGAGAAGCAAGCTGGCACACAGACCTGCTTGTCTCTCAATGTCCATTCTCTCATCTCCCTTACTATCAGAACCTGAATTTGGTTCAGGGTGGGAAATGTGTTTGTGCAAAATATTTAATTCCCCAGGTTGCCATGGAGATGGTGGAGTCACATGACTCACTTGTGGCCAGTAGGTGTAATCTGCAGTTTACTAGATGAGAGTTCAAGAATAATGGTTATTTTTCTAAGGGCACAGCTACCAAACACCATGCACTTTACACTCTGCATTTACCCTCTTCCTCTGCCTAATACATATTTATATTACCTAGAGGTGGAGTAGTCAGCTTGGAGTGATTAGAAAAAACCCATAGGCTTTCCATAGGCTGAATGGGGCCTAAGTTCAGGGCTTCCTCCAGAAGTTGCTCAGCCCTGAGTGTCCACTTGTACATATTAATGCTTGAGAAAGACCACATACATTCCTAGTAAACCCATCAAGTACTTCCCTCCTTTACAAAGCACAGCATCCTCTTTTCTCACCATAAAAGACTCCATTCTTCTCCATGTTAAACCTAAGTGGCATTAAGACAGATGAGGGGGAGGTGGCTACTAGCTCCCACATTGAAGAAGGAAGAGAGATAGATGGAAGGAGTGGGGAGAAGGAGAAGGGAAGGAGGACAGAAAGGGGATAGCAAGCCTTCAATAACAGAATAGTCCTGGATATTTCAGGGCTGGCAGGGTATGAGTTGAGCAACTAGGGCTTAGGTTAAGACTTTCAAAGTGAGCCCAGAGCACAGTGCATTTCACTAGGGCAGACACTGGGTTCTACTACCTATTCTGGCTCCCTCTGCACCCTTTGCACTCCCTCCTGTTCACATGATGAGCAGCTTTCTCTGAAGGGCTGATAGGTCCCAGAGACTGGAACAGAAGAGATGCTGTTCAGATACCATCTCTCAACCAAGGAAGCAAGTGTCCTATCAAGTCATTTCAGGCCTGACACTCACATGGAATGTTGGGGGAGAGTCACATAGCTGAGAAGTGCCACTATTATCCCCAACTGTGACCCTGCACAGTGTGTTTGGCAGAGGATGAAGCAAAGGGGAATTAGGGACAGGAGACAAATGCTTACTCAAGGTTAGCCAGGATAACAAGGCAACCAGAGCCCTCTTCAAAGAGGTTGCCTTCCTTCTGTACAGAAAGTGGAGTGGTGTCCCTTTTATCAGTTCTAAAGCATCAGAATGAAACATACAGATTTAGTGTGGTTGAATGAATAGCAACAATAAAACTCAGGGAATTCTATTCATTCAAAGTTCAGTATAAACAAAACAACAACAACAAAGCCTACACCATATAGGACTAAGCATGTTGTGGTTTAATCATTAGATTTGTGACTTAAGACAAAAATCACCACATCGCTGCATATGTTTCCTCATTTGTAAATGAGGCGGTTGAAGACATCCATGAAGGTATCTTTCTGCTAAAAATGGCTTCATAAAGGCAGGAATCTTATATATTAATGATTTCTCTGTCCCCAGCATATGACATTATCTAGGATAGAAAAGGAACTCATCTCAGGGTGAGGCTTCAGAGGTTCCCAGAAAGGAGAATAAAACTCCAGGTGGTGAGATTGCCATGACTAAAGATGTTGAAGCAGAGCAGGGCGGGGATGAAGTGTCAGAGATGGATTGGTGTGTTGTGTAGCAAGCTGAAGCATATGACATCTTGCTCCCTTTCAACTAGCTTGAAGTCTCATGGTCAAGCTTCTTTGCTATGACATAAGGATATACAATTTGATTGTCCTTCTCACTCTGAATCTGAAGACATTTCCCATGAAACCTTTAAACTTATTTTCTTCCCCTTTGAAAGAGTGAAGCAAAGTGCCCGGAAGGAACAACTTGGAACAGTGACAATTTGCTCTTAATGAACAAGCAAAGAATTATCTCTGGGAAATGATAAGACCACCTCCCTGACAGCCGAGTGCCTCTGCCTTCAACTGAACTGAGTCACTTTCCCTTCAGTGGCCTGGATTCAACATGGACCTGAACCATGAGCCTATATTTAAAGCCTGTGGAATTATAACAGAGTGGGGAGAGCACCCTCATGTGTTTGCTTGACAGTAAGTATACATATTCTGTAATAAGGAGGAAATAAAGAGGAAGAGGATTGGCCACCCTTTTAGTCCACTCTGTGGATGTGTATGCAGGGCTAGCAACCAGGAGTGAAAACCCCCAGTTCTTCAATGGTATCTCCTGCTGCCCTCTCTGTGCTTCTCAGAGTATACATGGCAGTTGAGTGGAATTTCAAGGTATTACTTTGGAGTATATCTTGCTGTCTATATAACACAGGGCTCCTGAGTAAGACATTAATAGTTGGTGAGAAAGACCTATCAAGCCTTTGATCAAAACAAAGGGCTTAGTGAGACGTTGACTGCAAACTTTGACCATAGGCAGTCTCATGGACCAGGTAGATCAGTCAGCCCTAAAGCTGATGGGCAGAACACAGCACATTTTCAGTTTCAGTGTGTGGGACTGGACAGAGCTTACCAAAAACCGAGCGCCATCAATGTGGTATTTCTTCACCGCCTTCTCACAGTCCCTGTAGTTCAGCTGCACAGAAAAGCGCAAGGTGCCATCAGTGTCACAGGCACCTGTTTTCCTCCTCCTTTACATCCCCCAGAGCTTAGCAATATGTGGTACCTGTGGCTCCCCAAC